GTACAGGGAAAGCTCTTTTAAGTGTATAGCAACATGTCCAGTACAGATCCAACTTTTTGTTCAAAATAATGTACCTTCTATAAAAAGTACAAACTGTCCATTTATGAACTTCAGTTTAGCAGAGCTCTTATTATCGACATTAAAATAACAAATCTCCAATATTTAATTTTGCCAAAAATTAGAAAGATTAAATAATATTAAAAAATTTAAAATAATTCTAATTTAAAAGCAAATTCAGTTGCTGAAATAATAATTTTAAGTGAATTCTAACATATTGCAGCTAATGGTCCGTTGATATACAAATATATTTCAAGCATGTGAGTTAATCCAAACACTAATTGTTATTAAAATAGATTATATTGAAAAATAAGCAATGCAATTCAAGTGTTAAATACGTAAGAGGATCTTTCAGATAAGAGTTTAATATAAAAATTTAGAGCATATTGTGTTTAAAAAATTTTTTTCTATTGCTAGATTTAAATCTTTTCGAATACTCGGACATCGTAGTGAAATTTCGTTGAACTAATATGAATTCATACACCAAAATACAGGTCTTAACCTTTCTTTCTATGAATCTTTCTATGAAACCTTTCTACGAATTAGGCATTTAATATAATTATAAAAAAATAGCATTATTGCTAATATTATTGATTATTACATTAAAATATCTGTGTAGATATGCAAAAGAATGATATATTATCACTAGAAATTATTATTATATATATAATAATAAATATAAACTATAACTTACAAACAATCCTGACTATGTCCACAGAAAAATAAACTTTGTCGTTTAAAGTTGCCAGTTGCATCAATGACAGTGTACGGTACATATTGGCATTCCGGATCACCGCTGCGTACACAGAAATTAAAGTCTTTTTTATACCACGCAGCGGAACGAGTTGGTTTCTCTGGATCTTTTTTGTATTCAATAGCATTTTTATATGCTCCTCGTGCATAATAAAACCAAGATATAACACGTTCCACAGGATCACGTACTAAATTTATATATATTGGTTTTGGCATATCAAGGTCTTCAAAGTCCAACCAGTTTACATGTTCAATGTATACAGATCCATCTTCCAAACCAGAAATTGTTTTCGCTAATTCACGTTCTTCTCTAGGTTCTAATTGTCTCTTAGTTGGTCTTCTTAAACCTTCTCGTTCAATATTCAAATTATTGAAATCTTCTAGTTTATTAAATAATTCTAATAGAGATTCACTACCAACTTTAGCGCACCGATTAAAAAATATTACATCGATTTCAGCTTTACGCGTGTTATTAAGCCTATGGGCACTGAGTGAACTCAGCTTTAATAAGATCGATGAATTGCTTATTACTATTTTTTTTCTATCTTATATAATAAATGTCGCACTCATTCTAATATTATTCAGACAAATTGCAGCAGAAGTTAATAAGCGAATTTTAATAAAGTTATTTTCTTAGAAATTTTAAAATTAATTAGATGAGTTCAATAAGAGAATAAAAATAAAAATAAAAATGTAAATTGTTGTATATATAATTAAATAGAAATTTATTTTTTATATAATATAGAAAACTTAAAATAAATAATAGTATGGTTAGCGTTTAACAGCTCTCGCTATGTTATTAAATTCTCCCAAAGTTTTGTCAGCTTTCATAAGATCATCAAGTCTTAACGCTAAATATTGTTTATGCAATCTTTGCCGACAGAATTGATAAAATTCAATTTCACGCGTGAAATTTTTACGTACAAGATCTTTAATGTGCTCACTAATTATTGGCTTCATTGGATTACTGTTTTGTATATCATTATTCAGTCCGGCTGTATTAAAAATGGTTGATATTCAATAAGTTTTAAATATAATTTTTAGGAAAAATATTTTTTTATAACTTTACAATTTCAAAGGTACTAGTATGTGTTTCTAATAAACAAAGAAGTTTTATATACAATTTTTTATAAAGCCTGTATTTGTCAGGAACTAATCTAATATTTCTATTTTTCGTTCATTCACGCATGAGGTCTGGACATTTACATTAATAGAGCTGAAGCCCTCTATTAAAGAATATTATTAGATGTATTAAAAGCTTGAAATTGATCAGGTTAGTTTAAACGATTTTCTCCAGAAATAGCAAAATGTATCTCAATAAAAGGGGGAGTACCATTGCTTCTTGTAATGCTAATAATAATAATACTTAAAATAGTAATAATATTAGTATTTACAGACAGACAATTTAATGTAAATTTATATGAATTTTTATTTATAATTTTTTTTATGAAATGCGGAGAGGATCGCAATTTGTGTCAATCGTACGATAATTGTATAAATATGAACTGTTCATACATTTGTATGAAATGTTCTTTTTCTTACCCATTAAAAAGGCAATTTACGACATTTGAAAATATTTAGTTATTTTCAAAAAATTATATTACGTTTGTAAAAATAAGTTGTACTAAATATTTTGTATGTTTGCATATAAAACTGTATGTACGAATATTAAGAAAAATGTTTCCTTGTCATATTTTTAAACACATACTGCACATTTAATATATATATAAATATTTTTCCACTTTTGAAAGAATCTGCATTTGCTTACAATAATACATTTTTGTGGCTCCCTTAAAATAATGAGGAATATAGTTTTCCAAGACAGTTAATGTAATATTAGTGTCTTCCCACGTACCAACAACTGCATACTCTTTTTCAACATTTCGCTTAGCAATTTCTAGAGGTATTTGACTATTGAAGGGCCTAATTGGAAAAAATTTATTATTTTCTATATGTCCTCATCAAAACTTGAATGACTTTACACTCACATGCATTTACGTTCGTTATGACCACAAAAGAATAATGTTTGACGTCTATGATCGCCAACACGTTCTAAAAATGAACCTTCGATAAAAGTACAAACTTTTTCACCACTCATTACACATTGATCGAATTCGGTATTAACCCATTGTGCATTTGGCATTGGTCTGTTATTTTTACGTCTATTTGGTACAAAAATCCAAGGTGCTCTTATATAATAGTACCAACTAATAACACGTTCCACTGGATCACGTACCATATTTATGTATATTGGGCGAGGTTTATCATACTTGGTAAAATTCAAGTAATTTACATGGCTAACAAAGATATTACCATCTTCTATATTTTCTACATTATCAATAAAATCACTTTCTTCATATTCATCTAATAATGGCCGTATACCAGCCTGTTGCGGATCAACGTCCACGTCAAAATTGTGAACTTTACCAAGATTACGCATTAATTCAATCAATTGAACGCTACCAGTTTTTGGGACGCGGTTAAAAAGTACAACATTGATGTCTGCTCTTTTAGTATTGTTTAAATCATCAGCATTTAAATAATATATCTATAAGGCGGAAGTGAAATTTGAAATTCAAAACATTATCAATTAAAGATTAATTCTATACTTTTAAGTAGACCAAGTACAAATTATACAATATGCAGTAAGCAAAAGTTAATAAGAAAATTGGAAATGGCATCAAATAATGAGTTATGTTATTAGACAATTTTTAAACAATATATTGGTAAAACGTAATAAATAGTTTGCTAAGTTAGTTAAGGAAAAGTTGAAAATCTAGTTACTCTGAAAATAATATCTTAAAGTTAGGAAGGAATACTACTACAATAAAGATCATTGATAGTAAATATTAGCGGCACCTAGTCTGCTGATATTAGATAGATACTTGATAAAGGGAGAACATGGAATACTTAAGCACTTTCTAGAGGAACAAAAACTATAAGTGATATTTTTCTTATCTTTCGTCTGACCTACAAGTATCATAATAATCGATGAAATTAGCGCTTAATTAGTTGCGGATGATATTATTAAAGTGTACTGTATTAAAAATCGGTTAACTGGGATTAAAACATTATTCACATCTATTGAAATTAATGTCATGCAAAGAGGATATCATTATCATTATCATTCTGTATCCTTTTGAGTACCTTTTTACTCGGGATGATATTTTTATAACAAGTATTTAAATATTAGCTGTTTTGATTTTAATGACAGATCGAAATGACAGATCGAAATGTCTTCAAAATTGCATCAGAACTCTATGTCCTTTCAGATAACATTTGTATAAAAACAACTAGTTTAATATATATGAAGAAATTTTCCATACTTGAGCGTTATAGTTCAACACCAAATAAATCAATAGAGTTCAGGCATCTAAACTGCTATTTAGTTATGTAGATGTATTCGTAAATGTAATACGATGGTGATCTGTTGTTTTTAAAACAAAGTAATAAAATAAAGAATTTATGTTCATGGTAAGTTCGTAGTATCAACTAATACAGCACTCTAGTGAACACTTTCTATAATACATTAATACGGCTGTTTTAGTTCATATATTAAGACGAACTAATCCATATGACCTCACTAGGCGCTGTCAGAAGAATTGTACGTCTATTAAAGTTTTGCTTTACCACAATTGAAATACTAATTAGACATAAAAGTTGCTAGTTACATCGTTAGGAAGAATATATTATAAGAAGAGATAATTTCATATAAAGACACAAAAAGATATACCGAGGATCTTCAAATTGCTATACTACATTCGAATCAATTTTCGCATGTATTTTACTTGATTTTGCCAGTACTTTCATTTATTATATAGTATATTTTAATAAAGAGGTATATTCACGGTCTTGAGTAAGTATTACAGTTATTGACTAATATAGTAACAGTACAAAGTGGCAATATATTTCCTCGAAGTGTTATTTGCAGTTTTTTATCGCTTTACACTGCACAATGTTACTGGGTTCCCGCGCTCGTTACTCATGATCGTAAATACCACTTTTACATATGTACAATTATTATGTAAACTAAGTTGAGCATTTTATACTTTTGCAATTGGAGCAATTAATATGAATACAATTTAGTGAAACAGTTCATATGCATTGTTTCTTTTAAAATGCATGACGTAACTATATTTAAAAATCATACTTCAGATTTTTATTGTTTTTTGCCTATTTGAATATATTTGAGTTATTTGAAAGAAATATTTAATTAATTAAAATATAAATGACTTAATTTAAATGGTTTTTATGTATAGGAAAACATGTTGTATTTAAGATCTGATACATTATTTTATTGCTTCATTTTTATTTCACAAATATTCTTAAAACATAAATTGTACGTATATATATTTATAAATTAAATAAATAATTTTAAAACTTAATGCTAAAAAATTCATTGTGCAGGTAAATTGTAATAAATATAAACTTATATATATTTTAATATGTTATATATTTTTAAATTCACATTTATATGTTTAATTCAACATATTTATCATTTCTTCTTTTTTAATTGCAATATATTGTTTGTATAGTCGTTGTTTACAAAAATTATAAAGTTCTATTTCAAAAGCAAATTGTACTTTTAATTTAGCTTCAACTTCGGGATCCAGTTCATTTGAATGTGGTGTTGCGTTTTTATGAAATTTCTCCACATCACCTAATGGTATTGTTCATACATTGGTCAATAAAAAATAAATAATATCTATTTCAAATATAAACATACTGTAAAACAATTTAGTAGCACCACGGAAAAATCTCGGTATATAATGTTCCAAAACAGTTAATGTTATATTAGTATCCTCCCATGATCCAACAACTGCATATTCCTGTTCGATATTTCGTTTGGCAATTTGCATTGCGGTGTGTGAATTAAATTCCCTATAAGAATTATGCGTGAAGGTATATAGACTTGCTATTTTTATTTATATTGAATTTATATATTTATCTAATTTACTTTGGTTTTGGATCGCCAACTTACTTTACTTACTTGCAAATTTTAGCATTACCACAGAAATGCATGGCGAAACGTCGCCAATCAGCATTATAGGGATTTTTTGAATCAAAAATGCATTCTTTGATTTTGGATTGCTTGACACAATCATTGAAACTTATATCAAAGTATTCTTTCTCTTTTAGTGTTGCATTATTATTTTTAACATAATACCCATATACTGCTGGATGTCGTATATAATAATAAGCGCTAACAACTTTGTCAATAGGGTGACGTGCAAGATTTATATAAATTGGTTTTGGTAAGTTAAAAGTTGTAAAATTAATCCAATTGATATGTTCAACATACGAAACACCAGCACCAAGTTCACTAATTTCTTCAGCAACAAGTTTTTGTTCTTCAGGACTTTGCAAGATTGGTGCTATAGCGTAAGGTGCATTACGGTGTGGTATAAATTTATTATATATTGACAAAGTAATTATCAGTTGTGATAATGACTGAGACCCAACCTTTTCAAGACGATTGAAAAAAAGTACTTCCTGTTCAGCTTTGACAGTATTATTAAGTTGAATTGGTTTGATTGTATAAATCTTGAATTAAGAAGTAATTTTATTTTTTTTAATTTTTTTAGAAAATTTTATATTGTATGCATCAGTTACAGAACTGATTTTATTAATGATGATTACAATGATTTGCTGTATCATTTAAATGTATATACTTCTTTTTGTAATTCTTTAGCTCATATATTATTAATATTGCCATAGTACAGATTAATATAAATAGTTCGTTATATTATTCGTTCCAATAATGTAAATGATTAATGAGGGAAAATACGGGTATATGGAAATTTAATTATTAATACTGAAGCTTGATCCAGAAAGAAAGAAAAACTTTAATTTTACCACAAAGCAGCAGAATTAAAGTTTGAGTTAAACATATTTAACATACTAAAATAGTGCATCATGTCAGCGTTTAGTGTCTAGCAGTCTAATTACTGAAGTTTGATCCAGAAAACAGGAAATCTTTAATTTTAATTTTGTCACAAAGCAACTAAATTAAAACTTTTGTTAAATATATTTAAAAGCTTAAAATAATTAATCGTGTCGACTTGTAATGTTATCTAATCTAACAGATTTAGAGCTTAATATATTTCAGAAATTTTTGTAAACTCAAAATTTACGCGTTTAAGAATAAAACCCCATTTATAACATTCGTTATTAATAATACTTTTAAATTTCCAATTTTTCATACGTACTCGCATACAGGTAAATTTCCACAGAAATGTAATGTAAATCTTCGCCAATCTTGATTGTATGGATTGGTTGCATCAAATACACATTCCGGATAGTTCTCTTTTCGTACACAGTCGTTAAATGATATATCAAAATAAACTTTTCGCTGTTTTGGTTTGTTTGGATTTCTTTGGAAATAATTTAAATAAATAAATGGATGCCGCACATAATAATAAGCGCTCATCACTTTTTCTATGGGATGACGCACTAGATTCATATAGATAGGTTTCGCTAAATCATGTTCTGTGAAGTTAATCCAATTTGCGTGTTCTACATAGGAACTAGCCTCATCAATGGAGCTAAGCTCCACAGCTAAAGCTTTTTCTTCTGCCAAAGTTTCGGTTATTTTTTTAGTGGCTACTGGCGCATTACGATGTGGTGTAAAATTGTTTATTCGTGACAATGCAATAAGAAGCGTACTCATTGATTGACTACCCACTTTTTCCATACGATTAAAAAATAATAACTCCTTTTGTGCATATACTGTATTGTTCAGGGCCATTTTGTCCAAATAATCTAACTTTTAAAATTTACACATTATTTTTTTATTCGATATAATTAGAAAACACATAATAATGAATAGGACAACTTTACATGCAAGCATATCAAATACGTTTTTTTTTTTTGAAAATGAGGAAATACCGTTCCATATAAAGTTTTGAAAATATATCACTAGAAAAATTTTTTTGTTAGTAAAAAAAATTAAAAATATTTGAAACATTACTATATATAATTTTTTAAAACAGAATTTGTTTAAATATGCTCCGCGACGAACTTAGTGATCCCCAATAATACTCACAGTATTCTGCGAAAAGATTGACGTCTTAATTGAATTATAATTGCCAAATGTATATTAGCGTAAATATGCATAACGTTGCAGGATTTAAGTTTATTTCGATATTTTCTATAACGTATGAAGTTATTCCTGAAAGATCGTTCGATCTATTATATATGTGTGTATGTACATATGTATGCAAAACAAATTGCATAGAAGCAAAAATGAAATAAAAAATATAACATTTGTTGTAGCGAAAAGTGATTTAACAGAAGTTTTTAATTTTAAATAAGTTTGTGCTGAATTTACAATTGCAAATATGCTCTGCGACAATTCATTCGTTGATTGCATCGATTATAGAATGCATGTTTGATATAACTATAATATATATGTATGTGCATATAATAGAATGCATATATTTTTTAAGAAATAATTTATATTTAAGTAATTTCCTTGGTAAGACTGTACCATAAATAAATGAATGCAACATAAATATTTGTATTTATGAATCAATATTAATTAAATATAATGTAGAAAATTCAATTCTTATTCGCCTACATTCGAAATCAAATTGTCAAATAAAGAAGAGAAAAATATTTGCTAAGTATGTAAGATAAATAAATAATTGTTTTCTATTTTAAGAACTTCAAATTCTATTTTTAATAGCAAAATATTGTTTATAAAGTCTTTGTTTACAGAAATTGTAAAATTCATATTCTATAGTGAAGTTTTGTTTAATTAGATTTTTAATTTTTTTAGAAATTTTTGGTTTCCAGGGATTATCATTTCTATTCTCTCCAGATAACCCCCTACTCGGATCTAGAAAAAGTTTATATATAATAATAACAGCAAAATTCTGTGTTAAACAATTTTTACCATAATATAATGCTTTGGCACCTCTAAAATATTTTGGTATATAGTGTTCTAAAACGGCTAGTGTTATATTCAAGTCTTCCCATGAACCCACAACTGCATAGTCGCGTTCAACATTTGTTATAGCCAACTCTAATGCACCTTTTGTGTTAAATGGTCTGCGAATAAAATTTCTCTGTCATTTAATATATGTATAATATATTAAATATAAGAATTTAATATAATAATTTAATTTAATATATATATAATATATTAAGAAATATTTACTCGCAATCTGGTTCATGTCCA